CCACTGCCAAAGGCCTAGCGAACCCGGAGACCGACGCCCCGAATTATTCCCAATAGCCGACCCTCACTCCAACCGCAGAAACCACTTCATCCCCAACCCGGAAAACACCTCAAGCCAAGAACCGACCCGACCCAAAATCGCCGAAACCCCAGCACATTCGGAAGCCGGCTAGACCCCCAAAACTCAAGACAAAGAGCCGGGAGAGGGGAATTGAATGATCCAAGCCAGCCGCCCCACCCAGCCTGATGGACAGAGCCAAAACCAACCGGAATAAAACAAGGCACCCGCCAATAACAACCAAAAGCAAACCGAGACAAATTGGCATCTGTAGAAGGCAGCCAACACACGATACACAGAAGCCATCGAGAAAACTCACCTCTTACAGTCACCAAAACGACGGCAGAACAAACCCGTGCCAATCGACGGTGAGATAGCCACGAGAACCAATCGAGCGTACCTTGAATCCAGCTTGAAGCACCGAGCCCATCAGTCTGACCTCGGCGACCCGACCTCAACCCCTCACCAGCCACCGTTTTCCGTCCAACCCACTCCCGTCGAAGCACCTGAAGGAAGGGAACAGAAAGGGGATCTGCAAACCCTAGGTGCATCGGTCGGCAGAGGGCTGAATTTGAGAGACGAGGCCAATTCGAGGGTGAGCGGCGAAGCACGTTCTCCTGCTAACCCGGACTATCACCGGGGAGAATAGAAGGCTCGAGCAGAAGACGACGATGTAGGGATTGGGATTGGGTAGAGACGACAGGAGAAGAGAATTTTATTAAATTTTCACATCATTGATATTGCATAACTTATATATAATTAAATAAAAATAATAAAATTTATTTAAAATTTGAAATTGAAAAGTTTAATTTTATTTATGTAATGAATATCGTATTATTAATTATTATTCTATACTAAAAAACTATTTTCCAAGTGAAACATGCATTTATAGATAACCTTAGTCATTCCCTAGTAGGGTGAGCAACTGTGTGGTTCGGTGAAAAACCACATCAAACTAAAAAAAAAAATTGAAAAATCGAACC